TTGCGTGATGTTGTAAAACGAGCCCCTATGTCCGTCACACTGTCACGTGGGTGGGGTCACACCGTGTTGAACTCCTCTGCCGCTGCGATACTTCAAGTTTACTCGTCCTCGCTCACCTGAAGTCACTTGAACGCCACTGAACACGCTGGAAATCAGCGATTTGCGCCAATTTGCTCAAGTTTTCAGTAAACTCTGTTCTAGGCACATGCATCTAGATCTGGTTTTATTCGCTCATCGCCAGTGCTTTCCTGTTGGTCAATTTGGCCGTAGATTATCAAGGGATCGAACGGCTATGTTGTACCAAATTTCAGGCCTGTGCGTACTATCACTCTGTGGAAGCTGCATTATGCCACCGGGATCTTTGCGTCTGGTGTCCTTTGAAACCTGACTGAATGCTATGTTTTCGAAGCTCCGAGTCGCCCAATCGTCGCTCGCCGCGTAGTACCCGTCGCTCGAGGACCATTGTTTCTCTCGGACATCTCGAGCATTCTGTTGTTCTTGGGCGCAAGCGTAGACGCTCAAAAATTGACGCTGGTTGATTAGCGCCAGTCTGTGGCCTATTGACAGACTGGCCTATTGTCTTCATGAAGTATTCAAGTCCCGAATCCGACCTCTGGTGATCTCTCAAAAACCGCAAAATTTACTCGCGCTCCTTTCAACATCCACGCGAACCTCACTCGAATCCTTTCCCGCAACCTCGTCCGTTTGGACTTCGGACCCGGAGCCGATCCTGCGCACACAGCACCCGTACAATCAGATTTCTTATCGCAGCGTGGACCGGCTTTAACAGCTCTTCACAGCAGTCGACAGCCCAAGAGGACGTGCACTTTGCATCGCGTTCGGACATCAGGTCTGAGTCATTCCCACGCGTTGACTATATACATCGTGATCAGGCGCCTTTCCGCAACTTGCGACATAACCTTCACATCGATTCAAGACCAACGCTATGAATCCCTGGGGAAATCCGTGGCAACCGCCCGCATACTACCAGCAGCCTCACCCAGCCGGGTTTGCTCCTCCGCAACAGCAAGGCTTTGCGGGGTATTGGGGCCAGCCCGGTTGGGCGCCTCCGAACCCTAATGCTGGTGCGCGCCATCTGCCCCCCGAGAAATGCCCACTGACGTGTCGTTTTCTCCAGGATACCATTCCGCCAAGTACCCCACCTTGAATCCGATCCTCGCGTCCGATTCGACCCAGGTGCGCTACGACATGCGCAAAAAGGCGCGCAACGAGATCGCACCGGCGACGTACATGCCGAACCGCCTCCTGTTCGCAACCGCGAGCTCGGCGTCGCACGTACGCCTCATATCCAAGGCGTTCCCGTGGACGATCGACGTAATGTCGAACACACCGGTAACGTGCGAGGCCGTTTGGGATGCACTTCATGCCGCTGTGAGTCTTGTTCTTCGTTCCTTGATGGTCCTGGCTGATAGCATTTCTAGTTCCAGCAGCACATAGCTGATTCGGAGTGGGGGATCCTCGTCAACTCTGATAAGAAGTTGCGCGAGAGCGTTGAAAAGATGGCAAAGAAGCGCGTTGATGCAGGGGACCCCGATATAAGACTAAAGCGTATCGACTGGCTTGGTGGGAATATAATCTTCAAGGGGCTGGAGAAGATGGAGGAGTTTGCAGAGCTACGGCTGCTGCCCGGCATGGATCCCTGCCTCGAGACCTGGTGCGTTAAGCTCGGGTCTTCGTGAGGATATGGCTTCGTGGATTAATAATGTATCATTGTATCTGTCGTTTGTTTCGTCTGCTGGGTTCGAATAAAGGACATTCTCCTCGCGCGAGCATTTTGCAAGGAAAAAAGGTCTTTGTTGTGATCTGTATTTTTCGGAAGGCATTGATCTCGCTTGTGATCCAAATTTTTTCTCCAGCTGCTTTGAGCGCTTCAAAATGGTTTCCTTCACGTCAGTTCTTTGCCCTACGCAAGTCTCCAACTTATGTCCTCATTCCAGATGCCATGCCTGCCAGGACACTGTGAAAAAGCCCAAGCTCGATCAGCACTACAACCGCTGCTACGCGGGGTTCGACTGCATCGACTGCTCCACGACGTTCAACTCCCCCGCCGAATACAAGAGCCATACGCAGTGCATCAGCGAGGCCGAGAAGTATGAAAAGAGCGTGTACAAGGGTGCCAAGACTGTATGTTCCTCGGTGCAATATTTACAGAAACGAAATAGTTTGATGTAGCATTGAAGGCAGCGCCCGGGAAGAGCAGCTACCCGCCGCGGCCGCCGGCCCCGCAGGATGGTGGGGCCGTGCGGAATTGGACGGCGAGCGGACGCGGGGGACGAGGTGGCGCGCGTGGAGGCGGTTGGGGCGGGGCGCGTTCGTCAGCGACTGGCGCAAATGATACACCGCTAGGAACGCCGACACGGTCGTCGCCTATGCCTTCCCCGCTGGCGGCTGCTGCCCCGCCCCCGCCAACGGCGGTCGTCGCTGAGGCACCCGCACCCCCAAAAGCTGCCGAGCCAGCGCCAGTTCCCACTGAGAAAAAAGACAAAAAGGAGAAGAAAGCGGAGAAGGAGAAGGAGAAGCAGGACCAGAAGGAGCAGAAGATGAAGGCGAAGCAGGAGAAGAGAGAGAAGAAAAAAGCAGCGGCTGCAGAAACGGTAATGTTGCAAAATATTTTCCTATATCGTTTCTTAATCTCACTTCAGGCTGCTGCGTCCTCCGCCGAGCCAAGTACTGCGCCCGCGACGGATGGTGAGACGAAGACCCGGAAACAGCTTCGACAAGAAGCCGCGGAACTTAAAAAAGCTCAAAAACACGCTGCCAGGCTCGAGAGCGTCGCGAGCGGTACCGCACCCGAGCCGGCTACCGCGGACGAGTCTGGAACACCTAAAAAGCGGAAACGCGACGACGCAATGGACGTCGATGCACCGTTAATACCAGACGCTGAACCCGCGGAGAAGAAACGGAAGAAGGACAAAAAGGACAAGAAAGTGAAACACGCGGCGGCCGAAGAGCCTGCCAACGCGATGGAGGTCGACGCAGCTACGTCGGCGCCGGAAAAGAAGAAGGGGAAGGAGAAGAGCGGCGGCGAGGGAGAGGCCAAAGAGATGGATATCGACGTACCTGCATCAATACCTGTCGCCGAGCTGGCGGAGAAGAAACGGAAGAAGGACAAGAAGGGGAAAGGCGACGCGGCGCTGGTTGATGCGCCCGAGCCTTCAGACGATGCCCCTGCAGAAAAGAAGCGGAAGGAGAAAAAGGAGAAAAAGTCCAAGTCAACGACAGAGGTCGCTACTTGATTTTGTCTTTAGATTCAGTGTAATGGCACAGCATGATTGATTTCTAGGTAAATCGGTCTTGGTACAGATACATTTGTTCGTTGGATTCCGGGTATAATCCACGCTCGGTTGTGTGATCAGAACGACGTCGTCGAGTCGACCTCGATGGTGGGGACGATCGACGCAATGAACTTGAGGAACACGACTAGGTAAAAGTCGACGCGCATGCCCTCAACTTCCTCGTCGTCGGCGGCGGCCTTGTCGTCCTTGCCATTGCCGCTGGACTTGCGGCCAAACCACTTTTTCTTACCGTCCTTTGAGGTCGACTTTGTGCGCTGCGCGAGCTGTTCCTCGACGACGCTGTTGTTCATGCGCTCGATGACCTTCTTCATGACACTGGCGTGTTTGCACGGGTGGACGGACGCAGCCTGCAGGGATACCGAGTGCGGGAATCCTTCAATCGTGACAGTCTTGAACGCATGGTCAGCGGAGACATCTTGGAAGATTTGGGGTGGTGTTAGAGGCGTGCGATTCTGCCAACATAGTTAGGAAAGGGCAAGCCTGAGGCGACGAGGGAATCAGACCTCATCGTAGCCAATCAGCCAGATGCGAGGAGTCTGGTAGTACTTGTCGTAGGTTATCATGACGTCGTACGTTCGCACTTGGAGGAGATTTCCGTTGGCGACTTCCACTTGGCTGATAGCAATTTAGCAGTTCGCGGGAAGCCGCAGGAGGCAGGGACCCACCTCGCATCAATGACGCCGGCCTTGGGCGCAGCAGTGGCCTCGTCTTCTCCCTCCTCCAGACCCTCCTCTTCCATATCAGGAATATCGTCTAGATCGGGAGTCTCGCCGGCAGCGCCCAAAGAGAGCGCACCGACACCCTGGGTCACCGAGTCCTCAGGTGCGGCGTCTAGGTCGGGAATGTCGTCGATGTTGCCGGGATTGGCGGAATCTAAATTCGCTTTGCGACCGGCGTGAGTCTCGACCCATTCATCTGCTCCGGTGGAGTCGCCGAACGATAGCAGCCGTTCCGCATCCTCGTCGGCGTCGGTGTACGCTAGAGACGTTGCTCGACGAAGACAAGGGACCCCTCGTGTAACAAGATACTGCTTGTCCGCTGGGAGATAGTCTTTGGACTTGGACGAGTCGCCCGCTTCCCTGATGCAGGAATAGCATGAGTTGCGACTGCCTCGTGGAAAAGTGCCACTGACCAAGTCCACACAGGGAACTTGTAGGCAAGAAAGTCGCCTGCCGCTACAAACTCCTCTGCTAGAGGTCAATACGAGTAAGGTATTCGATTAATCGAGACGAACCGGGGGTGATGCGGCCGTGCTCTTTGAACTTGCTCTCTTTAAGAACCTGAGAACGATGAGAGGACGATTGACGGAGCAACGACTGCCTACAGGACTCAGGTACTCCCGAACAGACCAGTAATGTTGCTGCAACGGAGGATAAGCAAAGGAATGAGGACGAGCTGGATGACACGGACTTGTATAGCGTGCATGTTCAATAGTAAGAAGCAGAAGTTGCCAAATCCGATCGGATTGCCGATTTCAATTTGTTGCCGCGTTCAAACTGTCAGTAACGCGTCTGGTTTCAAGACAAAAAGGAGTGTCTAGTGACGCCATTGGTTCAACTTGACATTCTCGCCGTCCTTCAAGCTCATCTCTCCCCTTGGCCGCGGCGGGGGCAATTCAGCGTCTAATTGCGACTTCCACGCCTCCTCTCGCATATGGTAGAGCTGCAGTACTTCGGGTTCATCGGTCCGATGGTGTAGTTGGTTATCACTTCTGTCTAACATTTGCACGTGACTTCTAAGCAATCGCGTAATGTGAACACAGGCGGTCCTCAGTTCGAACCTGGGTCGGATCAGTTTTTGGCCTCTGCAGAGAGAACTTTCTTCTTTTTGGATTCGTTGTCTCATGATGGAATATTTTAATGATGGAATCAGCGCGTTGATCGATTTTGTGATGCCTACGTCGATCATTTTCATCCATCGATCACTTTTTCCCCACACTTCGATCGAACAATTCCTCCCACCTTATTTGAACCTTATGCAAGAACATCTTGTAGGAACCATCTAGAAGCAGTGTCCAGCTCGCAGCGACTGGCGAATAATTCTCGGAAGATACCCTTGCTCATAGAGAGTCAAGTTCGAGCCCGGTGTACTCATGGACTCTCATCCTTGTCAACAACCTCCACAAGAACATCGTTGCACACATGAATTGTTCCTTGTACTTCGACTGACTTCGTTGCGGCTCTCTAGGGCACATTGCAAAATCTCGTGTTTTCCTGCTTGAAATTCGCGCGACGGACTACGGACCCCATCTCCATCACAACTGGATAACCCAGGATACACAAATAGCTTGGCGCGAGAGGTCGATGTAGCGCCTCTCATACTGTGCTCCCCCGCGACCCAATCCCCCTCGACGCTCTCGCGAGGCTGTAGCTTAAAAAATCACTGAGCACCTATCTACGCCTCTTCCGGTTGCTTCCAAAGATCGCGAACATTTCGTTAAGTACTGTTTCCCGTTGAAATACAAGGCCTTCAAAACAGTGCACCAAGAGTTGATTCTAATTATCCGGTTGTTTTTGCGCTACATAAAAAGTCGTTGCACCTGCGTTGCACGACTGTTTCACGGCTGCCTTGTTCTTGGCGCGGCATTGGTCTACTTCGAAGACATACATTGACTCTCCTACGCACATTGCAAAATCTCGTGGTTTCCCTGCTTGAAATTTGTGCGATACGGACTCCATTTCCATTACAACTGTACAACGCATCAAGAGTTTAATCATCCTTTTACTGCTCCACAAAAAATCCTTGCCGTACTCGTAACGGTGGCGGCGAGTCGTACTGCTTCGCTTTTAGTAAAGGCTGCCGTACTTGCTTAGCTTGTGGCGCCATTAGTCTTCGACGACCTATGGTAACTAAGTACCTTGAGCCCAATAGTGAAATTACCAAACTCCACAAGTGATCGCCCCATAGGTACTCCCAGTGGAGATAGGAGTGAAAATGACCCAACGTGGCAACGCCTCTGTTCCATTCGCATAAAAGGCGGCCCATGAGAGGAGGATCCTCATTGCCTCAGGCTCACTTTCTCCTTCACTGCAAATAAGTTACTTGCCCTTCATAAACATGCGTTTCGCTGTTAGGGCTCCCCACCGTATCCGTATTTACGGTTTACGGTTACGGGTTTACGGTCACCGTAACCGTACCGTAAGGCCCTGGGCGAACAGTTTTACGGTTACGGTTACGACTGCCCGTACACCGTAAGCAACCGTAAAAATACGGCCGTATACAGTATCTTTACGGACCGTAAATGCTCGATAAATGCACCCATGCATTCTTTGCGGTGAGTTCATTCCAAAAGCCATGTTTTGTACTTAATCCTGCTTTAGTCGCTACAGGGTATGGTTTCGATCTCCTGGATGCGTTGACCTCTTCGAAAGGGCATGCGTTCCTTGTGATTGTCGCCCATTATGTCACCAATGACGGAAAGCTCTGCAAGTACCCAACTTTACCGACGCTTGGTCTCGCTTGGTGTTGACTTTCCTCGCCGACACCGATATGTTGCTTCTGGAGGTAATTGGTGCTATAGAAAAGCCAAAAAAAGAACGCCTGTGCCTCCGCATATCAGCAGATCGTGACTGTTGCCCCCGATAGCGAAGATCCAGCTGCGACGACGTCCATCGGACTTTGATGCTGCTCATCCACCACCTTCGTCTCAAATGTAAGTCCCTCGAGGATGCGCTCCTAGCCATGCAGGCACAGTAGATACTCCATCCTGTGTCTTGTTTCAATTTTTATTTGTTTACTTTGTTTTATACGGGCCGTAATATCCGTAAAGTACCGTAAATGCACCGTACCGTACCGTAAGACCCTCTGATAGCGTCTTTACGGTTACGGTTCCTGTGTTTAGTGGCCGTAATTACCGTAATTTTTACGGCCGTAACCGTATACGGTACGGTGGGGAGCCCTATTCGCTGTCTTCGCCGCTGTTATTGCGCTTTTCGCGACTGCCGCCGCTGGATCCAGCATCCAGGCTCGCTGCTACGCAGACAGCTGTTTATGTCGCGTCGCTATGATTCACCATATCGTGAAGCTTATTCTGCCTTAGGTCTGCAACGAGTCTGGCTGCACCGCCGGCCCCGACTGCTGTGCAGTGAGTTCCTGCGCAAACGTAATTAATTTATCGTCTTCGCCGACTAACCAAAATTATAGAACGGGAGCTGCCCTTGTTTGTAGCTTGGATGGAACAAATGGCTACGGCCTAGCTGTGGATAGTGTCAAGGAAATCTGCAGTACATGAATCAACAAAACAATTTGCGTTCCTTTGACACCATTGAGACAGTGAAAGTCGCACTGCAACAAAACAAAAATATATTGTTTGGCATAATCCAGTAGGGTAGATAGAACACATGATATAGATCCGTCCTGTCAACCGACTCGTTAAAGCACATACCTGGATCGATGGATTCAGTCTCACTCGCGCGACTGTTGTGAAATTGTGACATACCGGAACAGTGGGCTCTCGCTCCCCAGGTCCCTGAACTCCGCGCGTCGGCTCGCGTCGATGCCCTCGCGCGCACAGTACGCGTCCCGCTGCTTATTGATGCGGTTATAGTCCCACATGGCGAAAAAGCTAAGGATGATGCTGCATTGGACACATTAGCGTTCGTGTGGCGAACGCGTCGAGTGGGTACATACGAAAGGCTCAACCAGCCCATGATGGTGCCGTGGCCGATGTGGAAGTAAGGCGGTGTGATGTAGATGAACGAAGAGCAAATGCTGGCACGGAGCGCATGAGCGGAGGCTGTGTGCAAGAAGAAAGGCCAAGCCTTACCCGCCGAGGTTTCCCAGACCGATGACCATGGCAATAACGACACCTAAACAAGAGTCAGAAATGCGAAAAGGAAGAAAGAGCCTCAAAGGCGGACCTCTTCGGACGTCGCCACCCGCGATACTGCCCGCCCACGCGAGATCTCCATGCGTCGTTCATAAGTCCCAAAACACAAAAGCAATTACAATTACTCACCGACTGCGATGGTCGGGTAGACACCGACCGCGGAGAGTATCGCGCCAGCATACCCAGCGCCGGGCGCCTTTGTCGTGTATAAGACGATGTATCCGACGAGGGCGACGAAGCAAGAGCCGATAATGAAGGGTCCACGCGAATTGTACTTGTCAGAATAGAATCCGACGAGGATGGTTGCAACACAGCCTGCGGTGAAGAGTTTCCATCACTTCTCTTTCTCCTTATGTGACCGAAAAAATCACGAACCCAGGGCGAACGGTGGGACTACGAGCAATTGAGCCTGCGCGGCGGTGAATCCGAGCTCTTGGATGATGGTCGGTGTGAAGAGCTGTTCGTGTTCAGCAGAATGATGACAGGAAATGAATGAAGTACTTACCGCAATCGCGTACACTGGGATGAGGAGGCTATTCAAGAGAACGTCAGGCATGGACTCGAGCGGAGGAACGACGGATGTTACCCCATGTATATTCCAATTTGGACATAGGTTTTGTAATCCCTCATTGCCTGCCAGACAAACTTGCGATCATAGTGCGTTGCGAGGTCCTGGGCATCCTCTTTCAACATATAGACAATCTGTTCTCGTTCTGTATCCGAAAGGAATTTTGCCGTTTCGGGATACTGGACATGACGGTGAGACATTGCCAGGACGAAGGGTGGACCTGACGTACATCGTACATGTAGAAATACGACGCTGCTGCAACTGTTACAACGTTAGTCCCTAGCGATCAGCCAATTTTTTTTTGAAATTCGATACCCAGTATTGTCGCTAGAATAACATCAGTCAATCGTCAAGTGAGGAAGAGCGTTATATTTACCGAGGCCTTCCAGACAGAACTGCGACTGTGTTAGCAACATTATAGCTTTTAACACGATAAACTCACAATCCATTGCCAGCCATGCAGACCTCCGATCCCCTCCATTTTCTCGATCGCAAAAGCGAGAATCCCACCAAACGCACCTGTGGCATAAATTTTAATCTACGTACTACTGTTACTACCAGAAGGGTCGAACGCACCTGCGACGGTGGCGGCAGAGAAGAAAATGGCGATACGAGAGGCCACATCGCGCCTGCGATACCACAACGACAGGTAGAAGGTGATCTATGGTCGGAATCAGGCACAGGAAATGTATACGCCCACGGAGCTGACCCCTGGGAAGAGACCCGCCTCCGCCAAGCCGAGGAAAATTCGGGCACTAATAAGGTATAAGTGTACGCCTGAATTAGGGTGAACCGTCCCACATTATAAGATCATGATAAGTCTTGCACAAGCACATTAAAGTCATGACAAGCCCTAGTTGGAGTGAGCCAGTAGCCGTCAAAAAATATGATGCACAAACCCCACGCCAGCATAATAGAAGGAACTTTGCAGAGTCAGTTGGAGTACAAGGGAAATGACAGCATACACACTCCATCGTGAAGGCCGGACGAGCTTCAAGGCAATATTTCTGCAAGTGAATTTTGCTCAACCATATTTCGGTTAATATGCCATGACTGTGACTTACGAAGGGACTTCGGCCAAAGCGTAGGGTATCTATCGAAGTTGAAGGACAGAAAAGACAGAGAATCAAGCAGCATACAAAAAAGACGGCGGCGATCTGGAACACCTCCGTCTCAAACACGGTTCAAGAGACGGTATCGCAGGTACGTACAGTATTGTAGCGAAAGCCCGTCAAATTGGCATCCTTCGCCATGCCTAGGTCGTGGATGAAAAGCCGATCCGGGCGAGTTGAAGCCGGGACTCACCAGCAATTTTTGCATTTCCCTACAAGATTATTGTCAGAATCTCTCGCGATTTAAATGAAACAACGCTGCGCACAATATTTGCCCTGTCTCTG